CACCAGGTCGACCAAAGACGTCCGTCAGTGCGACCTTAGCGACCCCACGAGGCGCCACGCCGACCATATTACACGTGCTCCCAAATGTCAGCGCTGATTGCGCTTCATATTTAACGTTGATCAAAGCACAGCTGAGCGGCTATCGGTCGCGGCCCGGCACGGCGGTCAGCCCGCCCGGCCCGGCCCCTCCAGGTCCTGCTGCCCGCTTCGGGCCCGGGCAGCTGAATTATTACATTATTGGGGTAGCGTTCGGCATGGAGGCAGACAGACGGACGGACAACATATATTGTGTATGACGTTGCCGCGCGGTTTGGCCGACAAATGATGAGCCGCGACCAGGAGATGATATGGGGGGTGGGGGAGGAAGAGGGAAGGGGAAGGTGGCCTTATCAATTATTGTTTGCTCGTTGCGAAAAGGGGGAGAGAGTGGAGAGAGGGTGGTAAGAAGGCTAAGGAGCGCCCGTTTTGATGGCACGGTTAAATTTTTCTGTAAAGAGCAGAGGGGCACTTCTACTGCTAATAACAAAGGTGTTACGCGTCGCACCTTTCCAGGGCTGCTGAAGTTATTTACAGTTTTATGATTTATTTGGAAAGGCACACAAAAGAGACCTACAGGTGCTAAAAGTGAATGATTAAGCAGTGATCGAGGCAGTGATAATGCCTTTGTAGTGGCACCAACCGCTCAACACTTTTTAAAGGTGCGACTTTCAGAAACGGTGGTAACGTAACAAACAAGAGTTCGACGCCGCCGACCTCGAGGGGCGTCGAATCATAACTGTGTAGTAAAGTGCGTTGCCTATGTTTATGGTGATGAAGTACAGCGGGAGCTCCTGAGGAGTACATTACGACTAGCCAATTGGGGTAGCCGTGCGGTGCCGTCCCCGACCACATCCACACACATCCACACACATCCACACTCGCAGCCGCGGCGCCGGGGCCGGGGGGTGGGGGGTAAAGGGGTAGGAGCAGCGGGCACGACGGGCACGCACTTTTGAGGTTTCCCTTGGTGGGGCCTTGCAGGATCATGTACCCATTCAGTGGGTGCACTTGAAGTGGCTCCATCACACGAGACGAGACTCCATCCATACCACCCGAGTCTATACGTCGTCACCAAGAACCAGAGGGAGGTGGGAGTTGGGGGAGCGAAATCCGAACTACTCCCTTTTCCCATCGCACCTCGTCGTACTCCTAAAAGTTCAAAAGCAGACGACACACGCAATTATGTCAAGCGAACACGCGTGGATATTGAGGTCATACACGGTGCTGCTGCTTGCGCAGGAATACAAAATACCAACACATCATCCTCTAACTCACTGCTGCAGCTCACGGCGGCTCATAGCGCCCTTATAGCTGCGGATTGGCCACGTCCGAAACACGGAACACACACACACACACACACACACACACACACACACAGAGGACCGTACCGCGCGTGTGAGTCGGTAGCGAACGCAGCCCGCACCGCACAACGTTAATCGAATTGGAAACCGCAAACGCTACCGACTGCTTCGCATATCTCAAGTGCATGAACACAGGGCGAGCGAGTCCCTCCTCCCCCCCTCCACCCCCCCTCCCCCGTGCTGCAGTGCGAGAACAAAGACACACCACGCAGTATAGGGGTACTCGTTGCTCAGCACGGGATGGGGAGAGGGCGCGAGGCGAGGCGCCTCTTTGGAAGGTCGCTGGCATCGCCTGAAACTTAAACTTCGTTCAGTGTCTCATTCTTATGTAACAAACTGCAAGTCTAGTGTGCCAGTGTACGGCCAGTGAAGTCTGTCAGAAGAATGTCAGAAGGTTTCCATGCCTCACACGCACATACCTCCTCAGACGAACAAGGTGCCAGGCGCGGTTTTGGGTTATTTGGTTCGACTGACAGCGGGGGACGATGTGAGTTGGGTTGCCTACATACAGGGGTTTTGTACAGTGAATTGCCTCCCTCTCGTGCGGCTTTCTAGAACTGCCCCTGTCGACCCCCCTCCCCCCCTTAAAACCACGCCTGCAAGGCCCCTTGAAGATAACGTATTTGAAGTGAAAATATTGGACAAAAACCAAAGTTAGGGCCAATCCCTTCCCTTTGCCATTTGCTTTCATTTTCACCTTGTCGTTTTGAATGCGTATTGGGTTGAGGTCTGAGTAACGCATCCCCAAAATAGAAAACGAGGAGATTTTGTAGCTTCGCGAGACGAAATTCTCCAAAGTGACAGGTACACTACAAATCAAGGAAACTGTGCGATTTAAAGATGAAATATTAACATAAAGTAACGGAAGCAAATATAAGAGAAGAGGCGAGTGCTCGGGTGAGTGGCAGTAAAAGTAGGGGGCGTGAAAGAGAGGTGATGGGAGGGGTGAGGAGGGGAGGGGAAGGGGAGGGGCAGCAGATGGACTCCCGTGCCAGGCGGGCGCGGCCACTGGGGGGGCGAGAGTGGCGACGAGGTGTGGCCAAGAATTCGACACGACCTTACGAACCAATTTCCAAACTTAATTTGGCTGCTCTATTCATGGCGGGCGATGACAGCGGGCGCGGCCGCGGGGCGGCTCCCGCGGGGACAGCTCCACAAAAGGTGAGAAATGAATGCTGCAGAGGGAGTGGAAGAGGCTACGGGGGGCGTGGGGTGAGGCGCGGAGGGGTACTTACCACCGTGTCAAAGAGGGGCATCAGGGGGTAGGCGCGCGGGCTTGCCCCCGCGTCACATGGCCTGTTTGCTCCAGTTTACCCGCACTTGTACTTGTGGGAAGGAAGGGCTGGCCGCCGGTGGGAGGTTCGGGGAGTTGGGGTTAAAAAAAGTACATGGTAAAAGCCCGCCGTGGCCCATATGGCGGGGGTGGGTGAGGACGGGGTGCATGACGGAGGGGTAAATACACAGAGAACGAGGATAAACCCGGACCGATCAAGCTGATCCGCAAAAAGCGCGCATGCTACTAGCGCGCATCATCGATATGGACCAATCAAAACACGAAAGACTCACTACATCGTGGAGCGATATGGAGTCATTTTTGAGTCGTTTGTAGTTTCCATGTAACTCAGTGATAGTGTGTGACGCTCATCTAGTCAAAACCCACAAATGGATCCATAGAGGTTATATCATGCACATGTTTACTTTAAGAATACATGTGCCCGGATGAACCGAGAGAAAATCTAAACAAGTCCGACTTGACCTAACTTGATCAGCCTGCTTTACCTTGTATACCATCGACTCGTTCACACGTGCATGTCGTGTTTGTTTGCCATCCTCAAAATTTTGCACTCACGGTCCAGGTCCCGACCATGGGCACGTCCGCGTCCGCGTCCGCCGACTGCGACGTCGGCATGACCATGACTTGTTTCCCCGCAGCCCGACTTCGAAACACTCGACACTTTACTTGACGCACTCGTAATCAACGCACAGAAATAATAGTCCCGACAAAGATAAACATTAGGGTCTCGCTGGCCACCACGCGTTCGCTGGGCAGCCCACCTGTCGCCGGCTGGGTTAGCCGTCCCACTGGTTCCTTTCGCGTTTGGCCACCAGAGCGCAGCACGGCGCACAAGTCGAGCTCATTCTAACTCCATTCAAACTGGGCTGGCCCGCCGCTGAAACCTGGTAAAAGTAAAGGTGCATAATTTAATACCATCAGTCTGTGTTCCAAATTTCAAATTCCGAGCAGCAAGAGTCAACCGAGAAGACCAAAGCAGCCGCCTTTTACTGAAAAGGCATGTGTCCGGCGTCTCGAACTTTTCCGTCAGAAAGTAACTATTTGCACCATGGTACAGTTGCCCCGCTGGCGTGGTCGACGAGGGTGACGCCGAGCCGCGTGCTGGAACCTCTCGCCGACGAGCACCGCGACCCGCACCGTCCTCCCGACGGAGGCACGTCGTGGTCGGTGAGGTGCGTGGCCAGGGCCAGGAGCCCGTCACCTGCTGGTGGCCCAGGTGCTCATCTTCATCTTGGAGAAGAGGCCACCGACCGAGCTTACCTATCGCTCAGTAAGACACGCAAGTCAAGGCCCAGGGGTCAAGCGCAATGAAAATTGCTGTCAAAGTGCCTTAGTTTTGACAGGTTCTTCTGCAAGCGCGGGTGTGCGTGCCATATATTGTCGCAGTTCGGCTGTCGGCACCCAGGACCGTCACCCAGGGCAGCAAGTAGACGGGCTTCCTCACGGCCTCCCGCACCACGGCGGCGGCGCCCAGGTCCCCGAGCACCCGAGCACGTTGAGCTCCAGGTGTGGCCCATTCCCTGCAGGACGGAGATACACACCACGCTCAGGATACAGCGGCGATACCCCGCGGTCGAGAGTCTCCCGGGGTCGGAGTATTCCCACCGAAAGCCGCAGACTTTCAAGAGTTTGTGTTTCGATTTTCAAATTGCAGAGAATAAACAAGGCTATTTGAAAATGTTTGCGTGCAAGCCTGCAAGCGGCCCTGCTCATCAGTGGTAAGACTGTACTCACCGCATTGCACCCTTGCTTACTCAGCAGGCCCGCATCCTTTCCAGAAAGTTTTATCTCGTGATACTGTTGTTTCATTTAGCTCCCTGCTCTTCTGAATTTCGTACATATATGCTGTTCGTCATCAAAATCAAAAAATTGATCTACTAATAGATAAATTTTCTAAAAAGTTAATTTATTATAAAATTATAAAAGTCTGTACATGCACATATTCAGAGTTATTCTTAACATTTTAGAGAGCATTTCCCACCAGCATTTCATGGCACGGTTTCCAAAATTATTTAATTAAAGTGAGGTACAAAGAATTATCATCAGGGAAGACACGCATAACTGGTACAGCAGATGTCAATTTTTTCAATTTCATAAACTATACGCTCACATGCATCATCTCTGCTTCTGTGTTATTTCCAAGTTAAGAGGCACAGCTGAGGTAGCAGCTAAAGAGCACAGGGCAGCACTAAAGCCTGCTTTTACACAACTGATCTCCGTTTTCCCTTGCAATGCTGCAGATATAAACCCAGCATTCCAACTGTAACAGAACACAGTGATATTACAAAACAAATTTTTCTTTTAAATAATTAACGATACTGTGGATTTACAGCTTTTAGGGGCCTGTGGGAAATTATGCGTACCAGTCACCCGCTCCAGATACACTGACAGGTTGACATACAGGTGCAGGGTAGAATCGTGCTTGAAGTGATCTTGATGATTGGTGGGGTAGCCTTTTGGCGTGACCGTCAGAACTAATTAGAAAGAATGGCTCATCAGCATCTTCTCTGCGACATATCTGGAACCAGAGCAAATGTGCATTTACATTTACATATAGTGCGAGAATAGAGAATCTGTCAGACTAAAAATCACCGAAGAACTTACAACTATTCCCCGATGTCCTAGAGTTGCTATGACTGTGCGTACATGCTCACCAAGCAATGAAGCAAGGTACTGCGCTTCTTTTACAACATCTTCATCCGAAAGATCAAGGTAATCAAAAAAGTGACATTTGTCACTGCCTGTAAAAATTTAAGAGGGTGAATATATTGAAAAGATGATTAACTTTCCGTCAGTGAACAATCAATATTTAACTACTTTTAGTGCCGCTTTCACATCGTTACTTACTTAAAGCTTTGCACATAATGCTCAGCTCATTGAAGTTGGGTGATACAAAGTCTATAGTCATCCAGCTGTCCGTCTGAAGAGGCTTTGCAGCTTTGTGAATATCTGTAGGCTCGAACCAGACTGCAACAAATGAGGAATTTAAGTTTGAATTCGCAAGCTGCTTGGCGCTGTTACGCGCTGTGTTTTGAACCCTATCCGATCTAGTGCTGACAAGTATCTTCCGACCAGGCTATTTTCGATGATCTATGAATGAAGATATTTAGCGGCGAAAGAACTGTGATTTTTCAAGCAGGGAGAGTGGTTTATGGTTTACTGATATGACAATAGCAGAGGACCGGCTTTCTACTTGCTCTGAAGAGATATCGTGTTTAGGATTTTTTTCTCTACAGCTTTAGTGTACATCAAGCTTGTGACGCTTTGCATTATGGGTATGTCAGGTGGGTTGGGTTGGAGATGAACGCTACTTCAGAACGAAAACAAACATGGGTTCCAAGTCAAAAACTGGATTAATTGCAACGAGTTTTGCTGTTTTGGCGTTTGTTTTCGTCCTTATTGCTTTCGTAACACCTTGCTGGCTTGAAACAGATGGTCAGCTAGAGAAACCAAAGTTCATAAGAATAGGTAAGAAGCCATACGTGATGTACAACCTAACCTACTTGTTGAATGAGGCGTGGCCTATCTTGTATTTTTAACGTTTATTTCACTCAAGAGTGCATATATTTCTGTTTCGAAATGTTTAAATACTTCAGCAAATATATTTCCAACAATTTTAAATGCTTTCAAGTTTTTGGTGATGTTCTGATGGTTCTGGCTGGTCTTCAACCTAAGGGCATTGAACAATTCGTGTATCTGGTGACTGTTATTGCTGTAATTGAAAATTATTTCTTAAAATTCTGTCCACCTTAGCTTAGAGCCAAGCGTATAATAGTAAGTAAACAAGTGTATTAATTAATTTTCTTGATTGTAGGTCTGTGGCAAGTGTGCTTCAAAGACTTTGAAGACACCCGTCATTATTATGACACAAAATTCTATCAATGTTGGTGGGTCTTTGAGGAAGAATACTACATAATTCATGACATTCTACTTCCAGGTAAGAATTTGAATCACATAGAATTTCGTTCTCTGATTTTACTGTAAAGCTATTTAACTCAATAATTTTACTTCCAGGATTCTTTGTGGCCACCCAGTTTTTCTTCACTTTATGCTTCACATTGTTATTGATTTCAACATTCCTAGTTGCCTTGTACATTTGTTGTCACAAAGACCATTCTAGATATGTTCTACTGCTTTTGGTAATTGGTAGCTGCCTCATCATAGCAGGTAAGTCCTCTCGCATACTTTTTGAAGAAGGTTATCAATTGTTTCTGCTAATCTCTGCTATAATATTTCTTTATTTCAGCTTTGTCAGGCACCATAGCAGTCATCGTGTTTGGAGCAAATGGCGACAGTCGAGTTTGGATGCCTAATTGGGAGCATAATGATATTTCCTGGTCCTATGCATTGGCTGTGCTAGGCACACTGTTCTTGTACATCTCAGGTGTTCTCTATCTGGTGGAAGGTAGAGTGATCAACATGAAGCGTAAGATGGCAGATCAAGCTGAGGGGGGTTACCACATGGAGACACGTAAAACATCTCAGACCACTATATGAAATCAAACTCATGTTTAAAGCACAATGAATGTATACAATGTACATTTGCACAATTATTCCATTCCATTTGAGGATAAATGTTATATTGTTTTTCTCAATTTTCTTCTTCAAATTAAAATTTGAAGTTCGGTTTCTTAAGTTGGTGTTGTAAAAACATCCTTTTTTTTTCAACTTTTTTAGCTGTGTTAGTTTGGCTTAAACTTGTAGCCAATGTCAGTGTGTACTCTAAAAACAAGTCCGTCCTTATTGAGATATTATGAATTAATTTATTCCTGTTGCAATGCTGCTTTGCCTCAGTTATATTTGTACATGTTAGAAATATTTTATTGTAGCTAAAATTGTATACCCCTGTAAGTTTGGTGCCTTTGCCAGGATTCATATCCTGTTGACAAATATTGAGGATTTGACTCTAATGTTACCAGTTTTAATTGATTTATTTTATAAGCATTCCTCTCATCTCTTCCATTGTGAATTATGTTTTGATATTCATATTTTTACCAGAAATGTTTTGTTTCACTTTAAATGAAACTTTTATATAGTGATATTGATCACATAAGTGAAAACAGTCTGTTTTATTCTAATATTGCATTGTTTTTAAACTTTACATAGATTTATGAAAGATCTTTCTCAAGAATCTCATTTTATACTATCATCAGATATAACATGCAAGTGCCGACAACGTATTACGTTCACAATGTACTGGATTTGTATCTCAATTACTTCTTGTAAGAAGTCTGTAAGACTGCACTCCTCTAGTGTCCTGAGCGCCAACAGTATTTATGAATCACAGCTATAGAATGAATGATGCTTTGCATTCTTGGAAAGTTATACGATCTTACTAAATGGTACAAATTGTGTTTCCCTATTTACAAGTTAGTATGTCACAATGTCACAATATTGTCTATGAATGGACCCTTAGTATCTTTTTACATATTTCATTTCAAAATGTTTCCCATTACTTCAACATTTTTTAACTGAATGTGGTGACATTTTAATGAAAAGTATGCTCATTGTGCTATTTCACAGCACTCAAGTTTTAATAATGTACAGACTTAATCAAGTTCCGTATGTGCCTTAGAACTTACAATTGGAATGTTTTTGTAGGTGAATGTGTTATGTGGGACTTAAAGTTTTGAACAAAATGAACTGCACCCTTGTTGATTTTAGTGTCTTTGCCCATCTCTTTTTTATGTTTATTTATATCACTGAATGTGCCTTTTGTGAATAGACCATACTTAAGAAACTTTCAAAACCGCCTTTTCGGTTGATTTGTTTTTCCCTTGTCAACCCTCTTGCCACAGGACTCGCCTCGTCATGCAACTGTCCCGCGGTTTAGAGATTTCCGAAATCCGAAACAATGTGACGCATCTGGACGATCATGACAAAACAATTGACCTGGGCGTCGTGAAGCAGCGCAAAGTGATCTCCTTTTAAAGCGATAACTAGTCGTGTCCACCAGCGTGCTACCCAACATACTGGACCCCCCCCCTTTTTTTTCCGTACCCGCCCCGTGAATCGGTGCTAAACGGTGGTGGTGGTGGTGCCGCCTGTCGTCGCGTCGTTGCCCGAGGACCTCGCCGAGGACGGCCCCTGCGATGGCCGTGTAGCGCCAGCACGCTGGACGCTGCTGGCCCCCACCACCCTCGCAGTCTTATCCCAACCGCCAGGCAAGGCCAGTGTCGAAACGGTCGCACGACGCGTGACATATCTCGGTCCGGTGTGCCCCCTTTCCTGCCTTCCCTCCCCACTCTGCCTAAAAGGTAAAACACTTTTTTAAAAGGTCCCCCGCACCTCGCTTAGACAAACGCACGCAGCCTATACCTCGTACCACAGACCACACCAACTAAACCCCTAATTCCCCATCCAGTATGCTCTGAACCAAATAAAAGAGTGAAAAATAAAATATTTGTTGGTCAGGTTTTTCCGAACGAAAGTAATTCTAGCTGCCACATGTCTACAGTTCAGTGACGTCGATTTATTTCCCCGTCCCGTGTCCCGTCTTCCAGGCCAGACTGACCCAGTGGACGTGCTGGCAGCAGGCGAAGCAGCGCAGCAGGTTCTATCGAGCACGGGGACAGAGCGCACGCGCTGGGACTCTTGCAGACCCTTGGGAACAGGCTGCCCCGGCCGAGCCGCCGCTTTGCATGGGCAGGCCTAAAGGCAGGCGCCGGCGACGACTCGCCGGTGGAAGCGGGAAGCGTAGGGGACGGCCTTGTCGACCTGCAACGGCGCACGCCGACGCTGCATAACTCATGCGCAGTGGCAGCGCGGGAGATGCGAAAATGCACGCTGCTGCTGCGGTGTGCGACTTGAACGAGAAAGCCACGAGTGAGGCCGTGCGCCGTGCGCAGCAGCCAGTCCTCTACACTTCACCGCTCCCTGATGTCCGCGGCGACGGCGCCCCCGCCGCCCCGCGCTTTCAGCAGCAACGTGTCGAGCTGAACCCCTGCCAGCCCCAGCGTAGGCCGCCCGCCCAGCTCAGCTGCGTTGCACCACAAGGTTTTGCCTAACCACCAGGCGTCCGCAGGCGCGGCAAGCGCGGTTAGAATGCCCTATACAAGTCCTGGGACACACCCTGCAGCACTACCGACTGATTCAGAAGATCGCTTTCACATACCTGCCTCCCGCAAGCTCCATTCCAGTGGCGCTCACGGGGGCAGCGAGCAATAACGCCACTTGACCGCTCTGCAGCGGAACCATTCGGCAGGGCGGCAGGTTCGCAAGGTACGCGCCTCCTGGAGTGTCCCCTCTCCGGGCCCCCTGGAGCCCTGGAGCACAGCGCGCAGCACAGGCGCGCCCCCGCAATAAAGAACGAGTTGTGGGACGTGCCAAGGGGACGCGCCGCCCGTCCCTTGTACGGACGCCGAGAACAGTCTCACGCGATGCATACTGTACGTCCACGACAACAACAGGGAGCGGCGCCGAGCTACACTCGCGTAACCGAAGGGTGCCCCCGGCCCCGGGTGCCCGCCCCAGCCCCACTCCCAAAATAGGTTCCCAACGAGTTGAAGAGTTGATGCGAGTTTGCGGGCGCGAATCTGGCCTGAATTTGGCGCGATTTTCCGCAAGTTTGTCGCGGCCAGTTGACCCACGAGTTGTCTAAGTGGGGTCCCCTCGCTCATAACACTGTGAGCCGAGTGTCGCAGGCGTTGGCTTGGCTTGGCTTCCCACGACAAGATATTTCGGACCACCTTAGGCCAGCTTGCTAGGTAATAGTCTCTGCAAAGTCAACTAGGTTCCGTCTTGCACAACAAGAAGAAATCATGCTTAATATTTGGAAATGAAAAATAGTAGTACAGTGCTTTGTCTTTTAAAGCCACGATACCTTATTGCAATTAAATTTCACAATACCAAAAAGTGATAATAATTACATTACCAACAAAAACTTAAATTTGAATCTGAATTTTTCAACAGTGATTTCTGTAGAGTTCAAACCACCCCGACAACTGCCCTGAGCACTGCACCGGTACTTTATTTTTTTATCAGTGTGTGTTGGACAGAGCTCGGGCCCATCCCGCGAGCTGCTGCGGTAGCCGCTGACGCACCGATGGGCGTGGAGAGCCAACAACTACAAATGCGGTCCTGAGGTGGAGTCACACTACCAAAGCCGACGAGAGAAAAGTTATAGCTACTCCTAACAAAAACGGAGTAGTAAGTAGTTCAAAACGACCAGTTGCATTCAAAAGACCGAAATCGTTTCAAATGTATTTGATGGATAATGGAGCAGTCAACTCTTTTCCTGCAACTCCGCCAAACTCCTTCAGCAAGTGAAAGAGGTGAGGAGCCGCAAAGCAAAACAACAACATCTCCCCTCCCCTCCCTCTCCCCGCCCCTCATGGGAAGCGACGCGAAACTGCATTGTGTTTTGGCGTGAGCGGGGCTGAGCGGCGCTGTGCGGCGCTGTGCGGCAGCATGGGGCCTAACTTTGGCCCGGGCAGGGTAGGGAGACCCGCTGGGGCACGGCGGTGAGAGGCTACTCCGTGCGGGCTGTGCAGTCCCGCCACGCCGCGCCACGCCGCGCCGCTGCAGCGCGGGTGTGAGGCCCCAGGGAAGGCCAGGTTAGTCAAGCGCGTGTGTCCCTGTCCGGCGGCACGGCTCAACTTGGCGCTCCCTGCTGGCCGTCCGTCCCCGCGTCCGCGCCCCAAACGTGCTGCACCCCGAGAGTGGCTGCTCAAGTGTTTTCAAGCGCAGGTTTCCCTCGGCTGTCGTCGTCCCAGACTGTTCTATAGTTTGGCTACACACAGACAACGTTTGTGGAAG